CCCCAAAACCCCAAAACCCCGCCAATAGAAACATAATAAAATGTTAAGGGTTTAGAAATTTATATTATATTAAAATGTAAAGAAAAGTAACTTAAGTAGCCCCAACTAGGCAAGTCTAGATTGTTTAATAACCTACTGAGTCACCTGAGGGCGCCACTCTGAAAGATTTATGCGAAAAATCAGATAGATGTTTGAACGAAAAATGCAAAAAGTACCATGCGATTTGGGCTTCTAGTTCTTGTATACAATTTTTGCTGAATAAATGCAAAAAATGCTAAATTACACATCGTGAATGGGAAGATCTAATGGATATTGCTTCTGATCCAAACACACAATATGATAAATTCTCTATGAAACCATTTTAATCGAGCAAAAAGCCTGCTCCTGCGAAACAAAATTCACAAATTGAATAATAAGTCATGGGCAAAGTAACCAATAATGGCAACTAAAATAAAAGTAATCAATAGCCTATAAGCTAGGTCTAGCTTTATCCCGAAGATATCAAGCACTTAGATTAATTAGAAAGCATATTAGCGTAAAATAAATATGTTAGTGGTGAATAATTAAGCGAGAAAGATGAATTAGAATACCTCTAAATTGAAGATAAATTCAAGCAGGTCTAAAATAAGGCAGAAAAATATAGTAGAATAGCTAAATGGATTGAGGAAATCAAAGATCTAATGACTATTTAAGATGTTTAATGTTCTCATTGCAGAAAATAGTTCTAATTAACAATGATAAGAGTAATGATTTAGTCAAGCAAGCAAGAATATTCATCTATCTTTTCCTGCAAGAATTGCTAAAAGAAAGTAGACGATATCTTGGACATTGATAAACTATTAGCAACCTAAGATTTCATTGCAAGTCCTAATTTCACAAATAAGGAATTAAAAGTCTATTAAGATACATAGAAGTTGGAAACTTTTATCCATGAAAACGGACTTTAAAATCTAAAAAAATATCTAATCAAAATGAAGAATCTTACTTCGCCAGTAGATGCAATCTGCTAGATTTCCGGTACTAAATTCAAACTATTAAAACATGAAAATCTTGAATATGGATTAAAAGAGGAGACAAATATATGCATAAACTGCTATAATTCACATATAGATAGATTATTTCAGCATAGTAAAAGACTAGGGTAAAATTGGCAGAAGTAAGGAATATCAGACGAGCAAATATTTAGAGAGTCAGGCACATTTTTTGCTTTGAAGGAATACGAGAAGAATTTAGAGCTGACAAATCTTGATAATTTAAAGCAATGGTTTGAATATATGAAGGTGAATGCTGAGCCTTCCTTAGTCATTTGCAATGGGTGCTCAAATGAGATCAAGAATAGTGTAAGATCTATATTTAGATAGAATGATAGCAAATACTATGCATGCTCAGGAAATTGTAAAGCAAAGATAGCTAAGTAGCATACTAATAACAAGAAGAAATAAAAAATGAGAAGCAAGTTCGATGTCATCAGAAGCTAGACTGAGAGTAGTCTAATTGATAATCTTGATGATGAAGAAGATAATTATGAGGAATAAGTTAAAGAATTTATTGCCAAAAACCCTACATTTGTATCTTATAGGAGATCAATCTTGAGTCTTTTGTAAAAAGGGTTTTAAGATATTGAGATTATTGCCAAAGTTTTGAAGGCTAATGGAAATGACTTGTACGAGGCAATCGAGCAATACGAGAATGGCATAGCTTTTGATTACATGAAATTAAGATACAGAGAGAGAATTTAAGATTACCAAACCAAAGCCTGATGAAGACAAATAATTCTACTAAAAGAATAAATTTCTATTTATTAATTCATTCAATTCATCCTTATTTCATAGAAAAAGTAATTGTGGGGTTTTGGGGTTTTGGGG